TTCTAGATAGTAGACCTTTGTCTGAGGAACAGCTGGTAAAATTTTTTCACACATTGTAGGTTGTCTCTTAGTTCGGTTGGTAGTTTCTCTTGCAGTGCAGAAGCTTTTTAATAAGATGAGATCCCAGTTGTTGATTCTTTGTGCTAGTTCCCTTGCTACTAAGGATTTGTTCATAAAGAACTTTCCTATACCAATGTCTTCAAGAGTTCTACCTAACTTGTCTTCCACCAAGTTTAGTGTTTCTGTTTTAATTATTTAGATCTTTAATCCACTTTGATTTTAGTTTAGTGCATGGTGAAAGATAGGGGTCTAGTTTTAATCTTTGGCAAGTTGAAATCCAGTTTTTCCAACACCATTTATTAAAGAGGCAATCTTTCCTCCACTGAGGATGATTGGCTCCTTTGTCAAAGATGAGGTAGCTGAGTATGTCTGGAGTTGTTTCTGCATCTTCTCATCTATTCCACTGATCCTCCAGTCTGTTTCTTTGCCAGTACTATGCTGCCTTTTTTTTTTTTTTTAACCACAGTGGCTTTGTAGTACAGTTTCAAGTTGGGAACTGTGATGCCCCCTGCCATGACTCTGTTGCCTAGAATTGCTTTTGCTATTCTAGGTCTCTTCTGGTTCCAGATGAACTTTTGGATTGTTTTCTCTAGTTCTGTGAAATATGCTGTTGGATTTAAATTGGGACTGCATTGAATCTGTATAGCAGTTTTGGAATGTTTCCTTTTCTTTTTGACTACTCCTTATTTGCAGTTACTCCCTATGCCTCAATGATGGGGAACTTTTTAGAGCTTTCAGTGACACAAACAGCCTGCTGCAGCATGGATACCATAGGTTCGCCACCACTGCTATGGCTGGATTTCACAGACTGAAGTTGCCAGGCTCAACACAGGAGTGGCAGTATCTCTGGGTGCCATCTGTAGGTTTTTCTAGAAAGCAGGATGGACTGATCGGATTCATGGGGCAGACAATGTAGGTTTCTCCCAGGCTTGCCCACACCAGGTTTTAGCACTTTTGTTGTTTTTCTCTAGTTTGATGAGTGTGAGGTGGTGAAAGGAGTTGTTTAGATTTTCCTTATTTTAAAGCACAGGCAGGCATAGCTTAAAACCCCCTCAACTGAATTGCCATATCTTTATTTTCATGTCTTCAAAATCATGGTCTTTGAGAGTTTTCAAGTGGTATCTACCTTCATTATAACAATGGACTAGGGGTGCAGTTCAGTGGTACAGTGCTTGCCTAGTGTACTTGAAGCCTTAGGTCCCATCCTCAGCAACACACACACACACACACACACACACACACACACACAAATGATAACCTCCCAATTATTGAAAACACGTTAAAAC